CAATCATATAGCTATCGATCTAATTTGTAGGCAAGTTTACTGCGCAGTGGTGACACGCAGACACAATTAACTATAACGAATACGGTAGAATACTAGAAATACACGGTCACGGGCAGTCGCAAGAGCAAGAGAACCGCTACAATATCAATACATTATTATGAAGGGGAACGATTTTCATACTATTTGAACGTGTAAGGGTGGATGCAGAGTGAATGTGTCAGTTTGGTTAGCTTTCCTGCAACGACGTGGATATTCGTCCGAGCATCGGACACTTGTTCGTATGCGCTATTCGCCCGAGCAGTTGTTGCGCATGCGCTGTTCAATGTTCATGTAGCATGCCGCAGGCGCACGGCACGGGTGTCGGAGATAGGAAGTGTGAAGGGGGGGTCTGGGGGGTCTCCCCACAATTTTTAAATCTAGACGCTCTAAAATGCTATTTACCCTTTAGATTTATGCTTTTTTGCCCTTTAGGCTGGGGGCCCGCAGCGTTTTGCTACGGCAGCCCTACGGCTGTAACGCCCCTGCATACATGCGTTGGGTATGTGGTTATACACCATAGATAGTGTTTGGCAGTATCACTCGCTATATAAGCGAACCGAGTCGGTTTATAGTTAGTGTTAGGGTTAGGCGTGTGAGTAAGATTAGTGTTAGAGAGTAGGCGCCTCCCTAGACTAGCGTTATATTACATTTATGTAATACAACATGAACAGCGCATGCGCAACAACTGCTCGGACGAATAGCGCATACAAACAGGTGTCCAATGCTCGGACGAATATCCACGTCCTTCCTGCAAAGGAAATGTGGTGGCAGTGGTAAATCAAAAAATGAAAACGCGGTAAAAACCCGAAAATCCCAGCACAGGGCGGTAGGCCTAGGTGCATTGTTAACACCGGCAGCGTTGAACGCGTTAAACAATCCTGGCTATGCCACTGCCTAACATGGGCGCAACCACTGGGGGGTCGGGGGGGTCGACTTTTATGTGGACCTCCCCAACTTCTGGAAGACCTTATTTTCTGGGGAGGTCTAAAATAGTCCGATAAGCGTTTATTATCGTAAAACATCCATATTTCACCGGTGAAAGTTAAAATAAATAAAAACCCCGGGTGGTCAAGTGCAGTGTGATAACTGTGATTCAGATTCAGATATCTAAATAGAACCCTTGTTAATATCATTTAGATTCGACCTACATAGTACATTCAATCTCACGTGCATGGAACGAGCATGACATTCACCACGCGTTCGCAAGCCAACCATGTCTATATAGCTACGCTGTGTTGTGTTATAGACACTAAAAAAGGCCCATCTCCACACAAGCGGCGCGTCGCGGCGCGACACCGTTCACCACTACCGGCAAAGTTCAAAACTATTACATCTTATGGCGCAGTCTCCACTGACACGGCACGGCGCCAGCCCGGTTTCACGGCGACGGCGAAAGTCAAATGAGTTTGACTTTTGCCGGCTGACGTGACGGCGAAAAGACAATTGAACCAATCAACGCGATTGTTTTTTATCACGTGTTCTGGAATCGATATTGAAGAAATTGCAAAGGATTTTGTTGGAAAGTGTGACTCAAGGAAGGTCACATTTGGTTTCTAACACTGTTCTCTGTTTTCACTTGTCAGACATAGTTTTGCATTATTATTTTCATCATTATTATTTTCCTCTTCATCTTAATCATGCTAACTGTGTCACACAGTTAGCACAGTCTGTGTAGCTTTACTACTAGCTTAATCTAATTAATAAAACATTTTGGTATTTTATGTATACATGATCCTAGTACTGTCATTCATGACATCATAATTATGCAACACTTCCATCAACACGCTGAAATACGTGATATTGAACCAATACGTGATATTCGCTTGCCCGCAGATCACGATGCTATTGGCTGCTTGGGACCCCCCCAACTTTCAACACGTGGTTGCGCCCTTGCCCCAGTGTACTGCTGAAACGTACGGTACCCTGGTACCAGAGCATATAAATCAACGTGATTTATATATGCTCTGCTGGTACTATCTAATATGCCGGACCGTACCCCGCCTACTCCACTAACGAGTCTAGGGAGGACCCTCGCCTACGCCTACTCCCTAACCATAACCCGTTAACCGTAACCCTAACCCTAACCCTAACCCTATACCCCTAACCATATCAGGGACCGTACCCAGGGTACGTTCCGGCAGTACCCTGGGGGACATAGACCCTATGAGCGCATCTAAGTGTGTGTGTAACTATAATATCACATACATGTATGCAACCAGGAATAAATGATTTTAAAAACAGAATTAAGCCACCTATCAATGTGCAACGTAAATTATGTCTGCCAGTAGGCCTACAGTACAGAATAAATGAGAAGGTTATATATGCTAATAAAGTTTGTCGCAGTTAGATCCAAATTAAGTTAAAAATAACTTACACTGGCGAGATTTTCGTCCATCTCTCCGATAGACCTCCTCAGGTCTACCGGGAAAGTCGACCTGAGGAAGTCTATCGGAGAGATGGACGAAAATTTCGTCAGTGTAAGATATTTTTAACTTAATTTGGATCTAACTGAGATAAACTTTATTAGCATGTGAACTATAAAGATCTGATGAAATTATTCAGTCATCTATTGGAGAATGTTATACATATAACAGTTGGAAAACGAAGCAATGACAAATACATGTTTTGTAGTTGTAACACTAATACATATATGTCCGTGCCATCTTACAGGACAGTCGGGTAGCAACAAGCTAGTCATATGGCTCCCAAGTGTAGCAGCACTGCCAGAATAGATGGCAAGACTATTGTGATTACTGGTTCAAACACGGGCATCGGAAAAGAAACTGGCAAAGAGTTAGCAAGAAGAGGTTAGCAGCAGTGTTACTTAATTACGTTACTACGTCGAATATGAGTTTTGCCTATTGTGTTTTTTAATGTAGTTTTTGTAATATAGTGTGGTCATTTTTCTTTTTTTCATTACACTTTACGATGGGTTTTCTAAAGGAAATGGTTGATGCACGTTTTCCTGATCTATCATGCTTTGTTATTTTGTGTAGGATTAGAAATCATGGCAATTGCATAGAAATTAACAGAGACTGTAGCTGTTGTACATATGTCTTCAATGTGGTGAAATGTAATTTACATGTAAAATATTTCTGTTTATTAGGGGGTTTCTTGTGTTATTAGGTGCTAGAATTATAATAGCCTGCCGGAATGTTGAGAAAGGGGAAGAAGCAAAGAAAGAGATCCAGCAAGAGACAAATAACGAGAATATAGAAGTTATGAAGTTGGATCTGGCATCACTTAAATCTGTGAAAGAGTTTTCCACTCAACTTCTCGAGAGTAAGTTGACAATATGGCTGTAAGAAGTAGTGTAGTTTGTTTTTGGTCTACCTATGTAGACTGTGGCTGGAATGTTGGTAAAAAGCAGGCTTCTTTACCTGTATTTTGAGTTGTCACCTGTTTTCCCTCTCTTTCCCTCATTTTCAGAAGAGTCAAAGATACACATTTTAATAAACAATGCAGGCATCATGATGGTAGACAAAGCTAAGACGGAAGACAACTTTGAGCTGCAGATTGGAACAAATCACCTGGGTGAGACATACACTGCATATTGTTTCTTTTAAATCCCCACATCCAGTCTATATATCTCAGGAATTAAATTAGAAATTTATATGCATATATGTGTTAATACTTGAAAGTAAATTGAAAGTTGATAAAATTAAAGCATATAAGCTCAGTTTACAAACTGTTTTCATGAACATATCTATATAATTATGGTATTTATATTATTGTTATTCCATGTGTGTGATGTGTATTACAATATGCAGGTTAATTATTAATGGTTATAACTGCTTAATTTTACATGGCTAAACATTCCCTAATCAGCGGAATCACAATGGTTTTAGTGCTCTGATTGCACCAATACAATTCGCTTACCATAGCCTACGATCCAAATACATTTTTTTTAAACACTATAGTATTAACTCTACTTTAATCTATACTTTACTGCTAGCACAACCTAGTAAATGACTTGCAGTTGTTTCCTCAAAATATTTGCTCTAATTCTTCATACATATAATCAGGACTCCTTTTGATACACTTGAGACAGACTGAAACCGGTTAGACTAAGGCTACTAAATGTTGAATTTTGCCTATGATTTATTGTGTTTACCTCGATAAACTTGAGCTCAAGTCTTGCCTTAATCACTTAAACTTTATCCGTGTCTAAATTCGTTTGGTCTCACAAAAATGACAAATCGGGAGATATCGGTCCAAACGTAGCAATGTAGGTTTTAGGAAAGTTATACGCGTGAAACAACAAACTGTCAACCGAGAAACATAAAGGGCAATGCTTTTGAAAGCCCTCTAATCGCTGTAGCAAGCAACATTAGCAAAGAACTAGCGAGGTTTTGCTAGGGATTTCGGAAAGTTAAACACGCCCTTGTTGTTATATAGGCCATGTCGAATGACAGTAATTACATGTTATGAACAATATTTGTTACAGAACAAATAAATGGATAAATAATAACACTAACATGTGAAATTGTTTATTTGTCTAAATGTTAAATAGATCAAATAACCACCAAGTCGTGTTAACTTTTTCCGAAATCCCCTAGCGGCAAAACTCGTTAGTTTCTTTGCATGTTTGCATTGCTAAGGCGATAGAGGCTTCAAAAGCAGTTGCGCTTAATGTTTCGGTTCACAGTTGGTTGATTTCACGTATAACTTTCTAAACCAACATTGTCGTTTGGAACCGTATATCTCCCGATTTGTCATTTTTGTTGAAGACCAACGCGTTAGACACGGATAAAGTTAACTGAATTTAAGGCGAAACAGACTTGAGCTCAAGTTTATCGAGGTAAACACAATAAATCATAGGTAGACTAAGGCTACTAAATGTTGAATTTTGCCGGTTTCAGTCTGTCTCACTCCTATTGATACACTCCTGATATAATGCATCATAACACCATTTCAGTGTCAATTTCGAAAAAAACATAAATCCTGAACTCCGACACTTTCTTCGATAAGTTAAGTCCCTAAAAACTCACTGGGGCCCCTAACATTTTTACCGTGGTGCTACTGAGATGGCTACCACTTTTCCTCTGTGACTGAACCATGGTGCTTGTGTGTGCATAGGGCCCGTGCTACTTACCATGCTACTGCTTGATCGCATGAAAGAGTCTGCGCCAGCCCGCATCATCAACGTGTCGTCCAAGTTCCACGCGTGGGGCAGCATCAAGTGGGACGACTTCAACAGCGAAAAGTCATACAGCAAGAAGCACGAGTACGCGCAGAGCAAGCTTGCCAACATACTCTTCGCCCGTGAGCTGAGCAAGAGGATCGAAGGTATATGGATGTTGGTTTGGGGGCTGGGTATAGAGAGACTGCAGTGAAGGAGGAGTCCAGCGATTGTGGAATGGAGAGGCGGGTGCCCTACAGATTGTCGGCGCCCTGGCGTGTCTCCCAACCCCTCCTGTCATTCCTCCCCTCCCCCCGGTGTGTCATTGCTCAGGGCATCTCTCTCTACCTCCTGACCGCATGCACGGGCATGGCGGTCAACTGCCTGTATTCAATCATGGCTACAAGCCCCTTGACCCTTGCCCTCGCAACCCCCAGGTGTGTCATTTCTCAGCATGCGTCTCTCTCTCTCTCTCTCTCTTGGCTGCAGTCACAGGCGTGACTGTCAACTGCCTGTATTCAAGCATGGTTACAAGCATTGCCTGTATTCAAGCATGGCTATAACTTATAAGCCAAGGCTCGACACTAACTTTTTTTTTCAGTGGCCCGATCGGTTTGTGTTTCATCGATTGATTTTCAATTTTTGGTGGCCCGAAAATAAAATCTGGTGGCCCGAAAAAAAACAAAGAAAAACATTATAAATCTTTATTTCAATCTCGTATTGTATATTATTTGAAAATTGGGCCGTCTGATGCACTTGCACAAGTCTTTAAACAAACCCCACACACTGACATTGATGATTGAGGCATACATTTGAATTATCCATTCCACGGCATCAAATTTTCACCAGAACCGCATTGTCTGGTTTGCTTGATACAATGTAATCACATGTATGCTGGCGCTTGCAAAATATGCTATGGCCTGCGCCCGCTCAGAAATTTACCTCTGGCTAGACTGGTTCGCGGCCGAACTGTTCGTCGCAGAGCGTGTACATTGTCTAGCAGAGCGTGAGGCCGGATACCAGTCTAACACAATAACGTGGCTTGTTGCAGCCGCGGTAGACGGATAAACCGTGCGCCCGTGTATGCCCGCGGTAGAATGCTGCACGTGCGTACGTGTGCCCTCGCTCCGCGAATTGCTCGCTCTCTTTTGAATGAGATTAGCACGTAAGAAACAATTATTTTTATCACATAGACACTTTGAAATTTTAGTGGCCCGTTCGG